ATCGCATTATTAGTATCACCGTCCCCCTTCAACCCGTTAAACTAAAGACTAATCTACGACATTGAAAAATGGGGTAACTCCGGGTTCGCGTAAGTCGAGGTATTACTCTAATTTGTATCGATCTTAGTGGCTCAAAAGAAACTAAATTGTATGTTAAGATTGTCATCGCGTAATTTAACGAAGCTCCAGTTTCAGACAAAATATTGCGCCTTTGACATGTAGAAACATTCAATAAATACTCTACTTTTTCCTCTGACAACTAATGAAAAATTCATTACTCCAACTAAACATGATTAACGACCCCTTGTTCTGTGTTGATTTGTTGTCCCCCCATGCTGCCTTCTATCACCTCTCTGAATTTGTCTGTCGAATTAGGCAAAACCTCGTATATATATATACCGTAAAATCCGACGCATAGCGAGCACTTTGAACACAAAAAATGTAATCGAAATTAACGGGTGCGTGTTATAAGCCGAGTATAAAAATGATAGCTTCAAAAATAAATAAAAAAAATTGGGCAAAAAAAAAAAAGTTAGACCTACATAGATCGAAATACTGTTTATTTAAAGGGATAACAAACCTAATGAACTTAAAGGGCTGTAGTTTTAAAAGTATACTATGTTTTTCCCCCAAAAGAATTTGGGATAATACCTCGAATAAATGACTTCAAAACATAGGAGATTATTTAACATATACATTTCAGTTTCTTCGTAAAAAAGAGGGTGCGCGTTATACGGCGAATATACTTAAAAATTAAAAAATGTAGCTTGAAAGTATAGGTGCACGTTATACGCTGGATTTTACAGTATATATATATATATATAATATACTTAATTTTCCTCTCGAGGGATTTCATTTCATAATGGTCTTGAACTCTCTGAGATTTTGCGTGATAGTTAATTTTTAGCTTACTGACTAAACAGTATATAACCACAATTTTATCTCCTACGATCTGTCACGTTAGCGTTTTTAAATTAAGTTGATGCGAGATTGCATCATCTTCGAATTCTGTGAACAATCATAAAAGTTTTTACCGAAAATCGTATGATTCTAAAAGCTTGTGGTGGAAGAAAACTACTAAAGTCTGCAATATCCAAACATAAAAATGAATACATTTGTGACTGTGTTAGATGTTCGCGAGTTCCTTCGCTTGTGTTGCACTTTTTTGCCGCCGCTTTACTTGTCCGTTCGTCAATAAAATGTGATTTTTAAAATAGTAAGAAGTTTACTTCATCTTTCAACTACTGTAATCCGAGAGAAATCCTCGCATAACAAAAATGCTTTCAGCCAAGTGAAATCTACTACTATTAGCCAGGCACATCAAGAACATGTGCGCCCCCTCCCTCACACACAAGTATGAATAATTGTGATTGATTAGCGACAGAAAGATCATTGAGTTAGATATTGAGTAGTTCTTCGTTTGGCCATTTACAAAAATATTTTAGTTATTTTCACTGTGTTGGTAACGTTTGTTATTTATGGTTCTTTCTTCAATGTTTGGCCTTTTCTGTAAGAAAATTATTTAACCACAGGTTTAACTTTAATTAATGAATAAGAAGTGATATTTATTTATGTCTTATGAAGGAAATTTTATATAAATAAGCGAAAACACACAGAGAGATAGTTCAAAACAATGAAAATATCTAGCCAAAATTCTACATTACGTTCCAGTGAAAAATTGGTTCAAACATCGTTTTCAACAACTGACCGAACTGCTAACTGATCTCTATATTCCCTTTATTGATTAATAACCCTCTCTGTTGCAGCCATTCAGAACTAATTTTAAAAAAGAAAGACAATAATAAAAAGAGCATAATACTAATTTTTAGTTTTATTTCTTAATTATCACTAATACTGAATGAACTTAGTCTTTTTTTAATGTCCTAATTCCTTTTTCTTTTCTTCCTTAAGAGATTTTGAGAAAATTAATTATGGTGTTTTAACGTTTTTATGAAAGAAAAAAAAAACACTTTTTTGATAAAATTTTATGTGATACCTAGTTTTTAATCACGACATAATACTAGTAATTTTCATTTCTTTAATTCCAAGCAGTTTTTAAATACGTTGGAAAACTGATGCAATATTAAGTTCCGTAAGAAGAAATATGTGTAACAAGTATGGTTTTAGAATATAAAGAATATTTTACCCAATGCAGTTATTTTAGTGTCATTTCGTGTTAAATTGTATCATTTTGCTAATAAATTTTTCTTATGCATTGCGTTAACATAGCAATTTGTAATTATATTTTAGCCCTACTTACTTAAAATACACCTGTTAAGATAAAAAAAAAACAATGGTACATTATTAGTATTATTATTAAATCAAAAATATTCTTTTCCAAAATTTGTAACTTGTATTCCATTATCTTTTGACAATTAATTTCTGAATACCATTTTAATTTTACATGTCATACTTTTTTTCAAATACAAATTTTTTTAAATATTAGAAGTAATAAGTTTGAGAAAAATGCATTTTTTAAAGTTAATTATCTTTTTGATTTAAAATTTAATTGCTACAAAGTGGTTGTGCTTAGATTAAAAAGTTTTGGGATGCAATATGAGAATTTAAAAAAACTGAAATCGAACATTTATTACACTGAATTTAATATATAGATGCTTACAGTACCTTATTATATTTTCTCCATTTTCATCGATTGCTTTCTTCAGAAGTGCAGAACATCTTGTTGTATGTTCATTTTTCTTGCTGTTAGTAAAATGCAAAGAATAGAAAATATTAAGTTAATAAAAGTTTATTTCATTCATTTTTTTTTTTGTGAGAAAAGCTACACAATATATTTTTACTTGTGCCATCCAATGTAAAAAAGAAAAGAAAGCTTTGCCTAAATTATTCATGGTTATATTTCAATTTAATATTGAAAATTTGGGTTTGCTTTTATCAATTTTAATTAGTAACAATAATTTTATATTAGTTGTGATTTTCTATTGCATATTCTAAAATATATATGGTGCGCTGAAAAAAAAAGTTTACCAATCTTAGTCTACAAGGTTTCTTTATAAATATAATTTTTTTAAAATATCAGATACAAAAAGTCAAAAAAAAAAAACAAAAAAAAAACTCTATCCACTGTGAAAAAACTACATTTCCTCTATCTCATAATAAGAGTAGCAATTGAGGAAGTTAAATTCTCCCAAAGTAGTAGAAACAAAAGAAAAAAAAAATTCATAATGTAACATTTATCAAAGAAAAAAAAAGATTAAAAACCGAACTAGTCCAGTTTTTAATGTATTCTTAAGCTTAACTTTTTCTTGAAGATAACTACTGTTTTTAAATTGCTTTACTATCTAAAATGTATACAAATTTCGTCATTATCTTTCCTGCAGACTTTTAGCGACTACTATATTATCTCGAGGGGGAGAAAGTTCTGAATGAAATGCTTCCCAGACGGCTGTTATCACTCCACGAGCGATAGTAAACAAACATTTGTAACGAGCTAGTCAAGACAGCTGATAACCTCTATTAACACGCGGCTCTCGGCCGTCGCCGGCTCTTCCAAACACACTGTCAGCGAGCCAACGTCCATGCCTTTCATTCACACCTCCACTCTTTGGTTCTTTCTTCTCGAGTCACGTCTTACAATTAAATATAACTGTTGGTGGAATATTTCTCCAAAAGAACAAGTATAATATAAAAAAAAAAAATAAAATAAAATAAAGTCAATTCCTGCTTAGGGCAACAAAGACAAATTTTATTTTAGTTACTTTTTATCAAATAATTACATTAATATAAATATGTATATACATATGACAGAATCACAATATTAAGTTACAGTTAATTTTTATTAATTATCATTAAAGTATCGTATTGTCATCCAAAACAATTGCGTGTATAAAATTTCAGTTCAACTAAATGCTTTAAAACGTGAGAAAAAAAAGTAAACAAGTTTTTTGAAGTTTTAACTTAAATCGCTAAAATTGAAGCCAGTATGACTGTATCTGTATTTCTTTAAATAATTAGTTTCAGTCAATGTCAGTTACTAATAACTAATTATAATTAAATTATCGTATTGTCACCCCCAACAATTGTATATAGAAAATTTCAGCTCAAATGAGCGCTTTAAAATGTGAGAGAAAAAAAACTTTTAAAGTTTTGACACAAGTCACCCAAATGGTCGCTAAGTCACTAAAAATGATGCCCACGTGACTGTATTTGTAATTCCTTGAATAATTAGTTTCAGTGAATTAATTTTAATTAATTATAACTAAATTACCGTATTGCCATCCAACATGATCGTGTATATAAAATTTGAGCTCAATTGAGCGCTTTAAGATATATTTTATTAACGATTAAAAATTTGAACAAGATAAATATATATAGGGAGATTGTGAACTTGTATAGTAGAATTGAAAAAAAAATATACTTACAAATTAATAAGATTTACAACAAATTTGTTCCCCTGTTTTAAGAAAAGGTGGTTTATTGAGTAATGATTTTATAGCACAGCGGTGAATTCATATTTTGATCCAGTCAATATACATTATTTTTGACAATAGAATTCATAAAAATGCTTTGAATTACATATTAAAAGTAGAATGAATTTTCTTTAAGTATTAAGTGGAACTTCAACTTTTAAGGAAACGTTAATTATTTAATGGACCTCAAAAATATACATTTTCCTATTCACGAAAACTTGACTTGAACTTGAACGCGTCGCATTTTTCTTACGACCTCTTTTCTGATCCCAAATACAGTAGAAAAACAAGTAATATATATAAAAAAAATAATTCAATTCCTACTTAGGTCAAGAAAGAAAATTTTTATTTTAGTTACTTTTTATTAAATAATTACAATTAATATATATATATATATGTCAGAATCACAATATTAAGTGACAAAATAGAAAGCGATTTTCTTTGCAATTTTCCATATTATGTATATTATATTTTCCTTTCTATATATTCCTACTATTTATTCATTAAATAAATTTAATTATTCCAATAAAATAGTATAATAAAAAGAAATCACATTCTCAGAAATTAGGCCATCCCAGATGGGATTTGAACCCACAACTTTTGTATTAGATGTCCAACGCGCTATCCATTGCGAAACTAGGACATAACGAGCGCTTATTCTTTTTATATATAATGCTTGACTATTAATTTTGTTTGTTACCTTTATTCATTTTTTAATTTAATGAATGAATTAATATTTGAAAAAAATTGAATTAACATCAAGTGTCATCCACTACAAGTTTTAAAAAATGTATTTGAACTTGAGTGGAGGAATAAAAGCATTTTATTAACGATTGAAAATTTGAACAAGATATATATATATAGGTCTCCATTTTGGTCCAAAGACTCTTTTTGTATCTATATTTGTTATGTCTCTTAAACTCCAATTTCCTTCTTCTTTGGCATTATAGATTTTATACAACTTTTTCACTTGATATCTTATTTTATTTTATTTTATTATACTATATATATATGAAAGAAATTTATATAATATATCAAAAACAAGAAATAATATATATATATATATGTATATATATATATATATATATATATAT